TAACTAGCGTTTATTACTAGGTAAAAAGTCTCCTTGCCACTGTTTAGGTTTTTATCTATTATTCTTTAGGAAAATGTCTCGTAACTCAAATTTTGTGGCTCAAAAGTGGTTCAAATTGCCAAAACGACGTCGTTTTGGCCATTTTTATGTTGTTCTGTACTCAAAACGACGTCGTTTTGGCCATTTAAGTCACTTTTGAGCTACAAAATTTGAACTACGTAGCATTGTCGTATTCTTTATTGCTTCGCTGTTCCAGTCTGTTGATCACATATATGCCTCTATTTCTCTATCCTTCCTCTTTGTTTCTTTTTCGTATAAAAATATTATTTTAAAAAATAATTTAATAATAAATTTTTTAAAAATAAATATTTACAAATGTCACATCATCAACCACATCAACACTATGTGCATAGACAGCATATCATAGAAAAAATTACGTTTTTTATTTATGTTTATAAGATTTTTTTTTTTTTAAATTAGTTAAATTAATTTGATCCATTACCTAAAATAAAGAATATTATTAAAATGCATACTAATTAAACTAATTATACAAAATAAAAAGAGTACTCTTAATATGTACTTTATCTTGAAATTGGGTTAAACTTTAGTTTGACAGCCTCAAGAGTTAGATATTTAAGTTTGAATACCAATGATTGAGGAGGTTTTTGGAGCTCAATCAGTATGTTCTAAATTTGGTCCTAAAATCAAGAGTGATATTAGAGATTTTAAAAATTTTATTAAAATATTTATTAAATATTTTATATGGTATGTATTTTACAAAATATGAGTCTTATGTAAATTTCATACTCATACGAAACATTTAGTAAAATTTTTAATAAAATTTTTGAGTTCTCCATTTGTATAAAATCACATCATTATCACATTTCTTTCTTTGAATAAACCCAAGCTTTATTTTGGGGGATCAGTCCAAGCTTCGTTGGCCCCTTCTTTTTTGAAGCGACAACTATCCTAATTCTTGCATTCTCTAAGATTGTCTTTAATTAGAAAATTTGAGAAGGGATTTAAAAAAGAAAATGAAAAATATAAGTAAAATATGAATAAAATATATCTATATTTCACATAGTTTCACACACTTTTTCATTTTTCCTTTCCAAATTTCTTTTTAAATTTTTCAACCAAACACAATATAAGTCACTCACAACCTAACAAAATTCTACGTAAATTCATAATTTTATTTTGAATGAATTACCCTTACTTTTTTAAAGTACGAAAAGAATATAATTAGTCCTATAAATTTAACATAATTATAGTAACTTTTTTTAGTAAGATTTGTTTGGGATGATCTAAATAAGTGTACTTTTTGACTTTTTATGAAATATGGGTTAGATTTGGGTTGAGTTTGAAGTAATGTGTTAGAGAGGTGATGTGACTTAAATAAGATGATGTGACTTAAATAGGATAATGATTTTTTTGACTTTTTTAAAACTTGCCAAACCAGCCCTAAAGTGATATGGCTCCGTTTGGGAAGATAGGTTGTGGGCTTTTTTGGCTATTTTAGTCATAAAAGACAAAATAGGCTATTTTAACCATAACAAACAAAACATCACATCCAATGCATAATCATTACACTCTTCTCTCACAAAAAAAGTCAAAAAAGTCAAAAAACCAAAAAATCCTTCCAAAACTAAGCTTTTTAGCCTAGACTAAAATAGCCAAAAAAACTAAAAAGTCAAAAAGCCAACCCACTTCCCAAACCAATCCTAAAATTAATGCAGATGATGGGTGAATACTCAAATATAAATAAATAAATATAGATTTTAGTAGAAAATATATGATAGCATTATCTTTTTATCCATACGATTAACGAATTACAAATAAAAAAATAATACAAATATTATGTGAATTAAAATTGTACGGGGGCGAAATATTCTCTGCTTTCCGTACTCCTTGGAGTTCAAGCTTCACGTGACGACGTCTAACCTGACAACACAGAGAACGGTGAGCTGCCCGGCGATGGTGTGCCGAATAAACCCTCCGACGATCAAGTCAGATCACTTGAGGAAGAAGGAGGCTATTCGAGAGAGAGAGGGTGTTTCCGATAGCACAAGTTGCTTACCTCTAGCGTTCATCCTCCCTTCCTTTTTCTAGGCTGGCCATGCAGCCTCAGGATTGTGCACGCACTATCTTTGCTTTCCTTCCCTGGACAGTTGGCTGTGCTCGCCTCCCACCACCTTACACGTGTAAAGGCCAAATCCTCCATCCAGTACATGCAAAACTGCCAAACGGTACTGACGCGTGCCTGGAGCAGATATCCTCTCCCTCACGCCATTGGCTCAAGTGACACACCTGACCGGCATACCAAGACCGGCCTATTCCTTGGAAGAAAATCACAACCACAAAGAACACGACCGAGCTTTCGAGCTATCCGGTCGGGCGCACGCCGACCTCTTCCCAGCCTAGACTCTTTCCGGACTGTCATCTGCTCGGTCGCGCCGTGCTAACGCGCGCCTACTGCCGAACGCCTAACAGCCACAGCTCGGCCAGGCCTTAGACCACGCCTGGTTGGCAAACCTAGCTCGACCATGTAAAACAGGCCGGAGGGCCATGCCGATTGAGGAGATAGCTCGGCACCGAGAAGCTTGCCACACCTGCGTTACCGTAGCTCGGCCGTACTGTCCGGTGCAAATCTCCCCTCTCAATTGCCCCTTAATCCCATCCGAGCTAATCGTGATTGAGGTTACCACCATGACCGAGCTAACAGTTCCTGAGCTGCGTTAGTACCAAGCTGAGTGTGATTGGTTTCAGAGCCGTTACCGAGCTATCCCATTTGGTCGGTCACTGCTTCAGCAGTCTTGTCGAGGGCCGTACAACCGTACTGACAGTCGTCCTTTCGATGCCACGTGGCTTTATCCCATTGGCCCCGTGCGGCCCCAAAGCTGTCTTTTCATGCGCGAAATTCAAACGGCGCAGCCGTTTGGTTTTTCCCCCCCTCTTTTATGTACAAACGAAGGGTCACTTCAACCCTTACTGCTCATCTCTTCTCTCAAGCCCCAGAACCCTTGCTCTCAAAACCCTCGAACCTCTACCATTACTACCATTGCTGCCTTTCTGATTCCTCTACACCCGTTTTCGTTCCTTCTGAGGCTATAATCTAGCTCTTGGTCGATTGATCTCTTTGGCATCCGTCGCTAGTAAGTTTCTTCACCAACCCACCCTATTTTTTGTCCATGTTCTTCATGTTTTCCATCTCGTGTTCTTCGTGTTCTTGCTTGGAAATGCTAGGCACCTACCAATACCTCCTCCATGGGGTAGTATTGGCACACCTTAGGGCAATAGTTGCATACCCTAGGAAGAACTGGAACTGGAATCAGAAAAGCAGATGGGGCTCCCATGCCCCTTGTTTCTTCGAGTAAAACGTACCAACTTTGAATCTAGGATGAACAACTTGAATCTGGGTAGGACTGAGCTAAATAGGTAACTTGGATCCATAAACAAAACTTCAGCTGAGCAAAGATCAGTTTGCGGCTTCCCGTTAAGGCCGCGACCGTGCTGGATGTAGGGAGTCAGAACCGAACTAGGAAGGCCATATCGGCCGGATAGACGAGCCGAGATAGGGGGTAGACTGGCCACATATAACGGGGGATTTTGACCGAGCTAGGAGAACCAATAGGAGCCGTGCAATTTATGCCGCGCTAACCCTTGGGCTTATTTTTTAACAATGCAGAATTAGGACCGACCAGGCCCCTACAGCATTACCACTGGTGGAGCTCAAAATCCGAGAAAATACACCAGAATTTTCCGCCGAGATACAAATTAAACCACCAAATAAGTAAAACCGAGGTAGATGGGGAAGTACCGGTTCATGGTGAGCTCGCCCGGTGCACTTGCTAAGTTTCGTAGGGAGTACACCATTCCAGACGATGTCCATTTAGAGCTGGCCAAAAAGGGAGATACCCCATGGGGTGACCTAGATCGGTGCCCCTTTACGGTCGTATCCATCGTGGAAGGAGGGCTTCGCTTCCCGGTCCAATCCTTGATCTGCGAATTTTTGAGGTAGACAAGGCTTTGTCCGACCCAAGTCTCGAACAACACACACAAGATAATAAATGGTGTGGTCGAGCTGAATAGGAGGCTCGGTCTCGCCGAGATATTACATCAATATAGCCTTAGCAAAAATAATGGTGGGTTTTGCTGGTACCTGAAGGTCAAGAAGGGCCGAGCAAAATTCATAGAGGGCAACCCAGATAAGGAAACAAACGACGATGACTTCTTGTGGGTGTCCGGTCGTTATGAGGACACCGAGGCGCCCATATCGGGCTGGTATATTAGGAAAGATTTTGGCAGTACTGGTGAGTAGCTCGGCAAACTGCACTACTTTCTTTTTGCACTGATTTCTTTCTTGCCGATCTAACACTTGTCTTCCTTTTTGCAGATTACAAGCTCTTGGCCGACGACTACTCCCGAACTAATCAAGAGGCCATCAGAGTTCTGCTTCGTCATGCGGTCGAAGAAAGGAAGTCTCCAAAACTCCTCAGCTTCGAATCGACCTACCACTACACAGCACCGCGCAAGAGCAGGGTGACTGACTTTCTTCGTGCGCCCTCTCCAGAACCAGATCCAAATCACCCAGCGATCAAACTTGTTCCCCTCACCGCTGGACAAGAAATGGCAAAAATCCAGGCAATCAAATCAATGATCACCGGAGAACCGAGCGACTCCCAGCCACCAGAGGTACTTGGGGGACTTCTTCCACTCCAGCCGTGCAAAGGGAGGGGGCTGTGCTGGCTCTTGCAAGCGAACATCCAACAGGCTGGTTGAAGAAACGACCGAGAAAAGACCAAATCGGGCAACAACTGGTCGACGAAGATTCAACCGAGCACGCATCCACCGAGTTGGGTGACCAGACCGAACAACTAAGCGGGCCATCCAAAGCCCCAACGACCCCCCCGGTCTGGGCGCTCGAGATTAAGTACAAAGGTCGGGCTGTCTCTGAGGCCGATTCAGTGTACGCGGACAAGGATTACTCCCTCGGTTTCAACATGACCAAGGGGCTGATCCTTCCCGCTGACGTGAAGAAGCACGACGAGCTGTCTGACCTGAAGGTGCTTCGCTCGGCAGCAAAATCGATCGTTTTGGTAAGTTCTACTCTTTTTTCTGCAAGTTGTTGACCAGTTTTTGCTCGGTTTTCTGAGCGTTGACAATCTTTCATTTGTTTTCAGGCCGCGCAAAAGAACTATTTAGCGCACGACCGAATGATCGCAGTGCGGCAGAGACTGCGAGATGCCATAGCTGAGAACAAGGCCCAAAAGGCCGAGATAGCGAAGCTGAAAGCCGCGCAGGAAGCAGTTGTGGCCGAGCGAGATAACCTGAGCCAAAAGGTTGACCGAGCTGAAGCGAAAAAACAGCGGGCCGTGAAGTCGACCAAAGCTCGGTATCTCGCCGAGCTGAGGAAGCTGCGTGATGCCCATAAAGAGGAGAAAGATAAGGCAGTTAGCAACGCCAAAGACAGGGGTTATGCTCAAGGCGAAAAAACGTATGAACGGCAGGTGCAGGCGACCAAGGACATCTTTTTCCAGTGCGGTTGGAAAGCTGCCGTGGAGAAAGTTGGCCTTGGCCAAGATGCTGACATGTTCCTACATCCGCCTGCGGCCTTCATACCGCACTATATGCAGTCCTATGCGAGCGCCGCGCAGAAGAGGCTCACAGAGGAGGCCAAAAAGGAAGCCGCGGAAGAAGCCGCCGCTGTGCAACAAATCGAGCAAACTTCTCCTAAAGCATCTCAGTATGCCGAAGATCAAGTAGCCGATCGGGAGGTTGTCGCGGTGGAGGACGCGGATGATGAGTCGGAAGAAAGCTTGCCCGAGCACACTGCGGAGGTTGCCGAGCAGACTGTGGAGGTCGCCGAGCAGACGGTTGACCTGGAATTGGATTGAAATGCCCCCTCATATTTCCTGCTTTGTTTTCGTTTCTTTTCTTTCTTTGTTTAATGTAACCGGGCTAAGGCCCCACAATTGTAATGCAATTTCCTCAATCAATGAAATTTGAACTTTTTGCCCGCTGATCTTCTCTTTTTGTTCGGTTGCAACGTGCAAAATGTCTTGATTCAAACTTTAATGTACCATTCAAACTTTAATATACCACAACTGATAGGCCGGCTAGCCGCGCAATATGCAAAGCTAAAATCAGAATTTCTTCAACTTAAATGTTTGCGGCTACTCTCAGCTCGGTTTTTTTCAAACGAACCCAAAAATTTTCATTCGGTCGAGCAAAAATTACCACTGCCATTCTGGCTTTGACAACACTTCAAGTCTTGTATTTGGGCGGGCAAAAATCAGCTCGGCCCTAAAGGAAGTTGGACAAATCTCAGTTATTTCACTTCGGCCGAGCCAAACCAGCTCAGCCATTAAATTGGACAAAACACCAATATTCCGACATGGAGTTGGATAGAACGCCAACATTTCCTTTGTCCGAGCGAAGTCAACTCGGCCTCTTGTAAGTTGGACAAGGCACCAACATAGCGCTTGGCCGAGCAAAGTCAGCTCGGCTATTATTTGTTGGACAACACCAACATTTCGTTTTGGCCGAGCAGAATCAGCTCGGCCTTAACATTGGGCAAAACACCAATATTTCATTTAGGTTGGTCATGACGCCAACATCCCAATTAGGCGAGCGAAAAACTAGCTCGGCCCTTACGTGAATTGTTCCATACACCAATCATTTCGTTGGACAATAATATACCAACTGTTGGTACGGTCCGCTTCTATATCGGCGAGAGAAGATTAGTCCGGTCTCATTCAGGTCGGTCCCTTTTTCCCTGGCATCAACAGTGGCTGTGTATCCTTGCGGTGTCATTGCACAGAAAGATGTGATACAAAACAACAAGAGGGCTATTTTTCATTACAAAAAGTAGTGCTATCCTTACATCAAATGCCAAAAGGCTAAAGGTCTAGAAAGCTAAGTAATAAAAGCAATTACATTTTAAAAGTAAAAGATCTTAAGGTTGGCTGCATTCCACGGTCTGGGGACAACTTTGCCATCTAAATCTTCCAGATGGTATGCCCTTTTGCCAGCGAGACCAATCACCTTGTATGGTCCTTCCCAATTGTCACGCCCCAAACTCGCCCCTAGAAGTTTGGCAACGAGACCGGCCAGTAATCCTAGATTACCACAGGCCTTGCTATACAAAACATAAATAAAAGGGGCTCGCGGAAGCGAAAACAATAACCACTAATAGTCCAAAGAGTTGTGCATTTATATGAACATACATTACATGCCAAAAATGTTAATTTACCCACTACATTACATCACATACAATAAAAGACCATATACAACACATAGGCAAAAGCCACAGATACAACAAGACAAAGCTCACAAAACGGCCTTCCAGGCCTAGCCCCGGCTCGGAGCACACAAAACACTTGTTAGGCTTCAAAACAGCGGCTCGGCTCGAGAACCCGCCTAGGCTTGACTTCCAGAATGCTCACCTATAATACATAATTACAAACAATGAGCTAGAGCGAGGCAAGTAACATAACAGTAAAGAGGTTAGTGAACGAAGTCCGACATTTTCATAATCCACAATAAATCAATCATAAACATATATCAGTCATCAGTCATCATAAGAACATACGTAATGGCATACTCCACAAAACCTTTCATAACAGTCTATCAGTCAACAGTCTACGAGATCTCGTAACTAGTCATGGGCTTGTCCTTCCATGCCGTTCCCCATGACTCATGACGCATGGGCCTGCATGTTCCCACCCCCATGACCCAACTATCTATGGATGCCATACTAGATTCGCAAACTGGACATTCGTTCACAGAAAACATTTATCATTTCAAAACCATAGCATAACGTAGCACTTTTAAACATAGATCATACTAACATATCTTTACAGAAATGTTACTCACAGAGGGTTTCCGAAACCGAATGCACGGTCTTCAATTCTTGACCTGCAAATATCAACATATCACACATTTCTCAATACACATTATCATTAAATCCTGTAATTCATGCACTTCATTCTTTCCTTTACTTCATTTCATGTTCATTCTAATCTTTCTTTACTTTGATTCATACTCATTTCATGTTCATAAGATGATAAATGATGCAATTAACATGTTAAAATCAAGTCTGCAACTTCCCCAAAATTTTCCTGAAAAAGGCCTTCCCGCTCGAGCGCCACTTTGGGGCCGAAGCTCGAGGCGTACTGTAAAAAGTCCCAAAAACTGCTGGGAGGCTGTTTTCACGCTCGAGCGGGCTTCCCTCCGCTCGAGCGTACAGAGCAAAATCCGAATTTCTGGTTCTTCTTCCAAGCTTCATTCTCCTCTTTACAAAATCACTTTCCACATTTATGAAATCTAAGACCCCAATATATCACTTAAAACCAGTCTTAAAATCAGCGATAACAAACTTCAGAATCGAAAACCCATATGGGAACAATTAGATAGACATCAAATCTTGGTTTGTAAAATAGAGAATCGTAAACTTGAGCATAAAAGCTATCATTTCGAGAAGACATTCCAATTGGAGGTTTCCTCAAGAAATGCCAATTAACCATAAATCATACCATTTTAAGCCATGACTCTTGTGCTTTCAACATGCTCAAAATACCACGAATCAACAATCAATTTCATGGAAATCTTACCTTATTAACACTTAGTTGGAGAAGATTTGAGCTTAACCCCTTTTCTCTCGTTCTTTCCCTTTCCTTTTCTCTCTCCCCGAGCCTCTCTCTTTTCTCCCTCAAATATTCTCCTTTTTCGTTTAGTTTGAGTCAAAGAGTCAAAACATCCGATCCTTTATCTATTTATATAACAAAATAAACATGTATGCCTCAAAACACTTAAGCCCAAACATGACTTACAATCAGACGAAATTCAAGTCCTTAATTTATTTTCTTAAATGGTTCTAAAAATTCCCGGTATCACATAGGCGTGCTCAATTTCGTTTTCTGAACCCATTACGGTCATCAATTTCAGTCCCGAAGTCGTAATCTCAACAGGTATTTTCTAAGTTCAACAGATGATCTCCAATTAAATCATACTAACACATAATTAATTATTGGTAATCATGGTATACGGTTCTGGGTCGTTACACCAATTTGCACCGAGCTTTCCTTCGCCAAGGACCACCGTGTTGTCCAGCACTTTTCTTAAGACCCAGTCCCCGATCTTGAACAACCTGGGGTGCACAGCCTTGTTGTATTTTTTGGAGAGTTCTTGCTGATAGGCCGCTATGTGGATTAGTGCCCGCTCCCTCCTCTCCTCGGCAAGGTCTAGCTCCAATGCCACTGCTTCATTGTTCAAATCTGGCTAGAAGCTTTCGGACCGGATGGTTGGCATGCCAATTTCTAGCGGGATAACGGCTTCCATGCCATAGGCCAAATCAAACGGAGTCTCTCCGGTCGACCATCTTGGCGTAGTGCGGTACGCCCAGAGTACATTAGGGAGTTCTTCAGCCCACTTCCCCTTGGCCTTCTCAAGCCGCTTCTTTAGCCCGTCCAAGATGGTCTTGTTTGAGGCCTCTGCTTGACCATTTGACTGAGGATAGGTCGGTGTTGAATTGTAGAATTTGATCTTCAGCTCTTCGTAAAATCCGCGAAAGAGTTTCCCATCAAATTGAGTGCCATTATCTGAGATGAGGGCCTTGGGTATACCGAAGCGAGTGATAACATTTTGCCAGACAAACTTCTTCACATCCTTTTCCTTTATGGTCGCCAGTGGCTCAGCCTCAACCCACTTTGTGAAGTAGTCGGTGGTGGCGATGAAGAATTTGCGATTGCTCGAGGCTACTGGGAGTGGCCCCACTATATCCAATCTCTAGAGTGCGAACGGCCAAGGACTTGTAAGGGGGAGCAATTCTCTCGCTGGCTGGTGGATCTGGTAAGCAAATTTCTGGCACTTTTCGCATCGGCGAACGTATTTCTGTGCGTCTGCCTGCATACACGGCCACCAATAACCTTGGAAAATTGCTCTGTAAGCCGATGACCTACCCCCAACATGGCTGCCGCAGATGCCTTCATGGATCTCATAAAGGAAGGCTTCCACCTTAGCGGGGTGAACGCACTTCAGATGCGGCCCGGTAAAAGACTTTTTATACAAGGCTCCGGACGGGGAGAGCCAAAACCGCTCAGACTTGGCCCGGATCTTGTTGGCCGCCTTCTTTTCTTCTGGTAGAACTCTATCTTTCAGGAAGACAATGATGGGGTCCATCCAGGAAGGACCCAAGTCGGTGTAGAGCACCTCGGTCATTTTCGGTTACTCAATGCTTGGCCGAGGTAAAAATTCTATCATCAAGGGGTTAGGAAAAGCTGTCTGAGCAGAAGCAAGTCCGGCCAATTCATCAGCCGCGTTGTTTTCCTCGCGGTTGATTTGTTCCATCCTTATTGCAGTGAACTTCTTGATCTCTGCGCGTGCCAACGCCTGATACTTGGCCATTCTTTCGTCCCTTGCCTCATATTCCCCTGAGACCTGATTGACCACCAACTTGGAATTGCTGAATACCATCAGGGCTGACGCCTTCATTCTCAATGCGCTTCTTAGTCCGGCAAGGGGGGCCTCGTACTCCGCTTCGTTGTTGGATGCTGGGAAGCCGAGCGCAATTGCCTGCTCGATAATCAGTCCATCTGGTGAAGTCAGTACGATACCCAGCCCAGCCCCATGCCTGTTGGATGCCCCATCGACGAAGAACTTCCACATCTCGCCAATAAACAGCTTCTAGCAATCAGAGGGGTTCTGAGAGCTTCTCAATTCCAAATCTCTGATCGGTTCATTCTGGTCTCTTTCCTTGTCTTGATTGAGCACGTCTTCCAAGAAGTCACCCGGCTCCTCTAGTTCGGTCGCTCTTCGGCCTTTACCCATTTTTGAGCCAACACTCGTCTCTATTGCCAAAACCATGGGCTGCGCTAAATCCGCACCAGCCAAATCA